ATGGTGTATGATCTTTCTGATGTACTGCTGGATCCTGTTTGCTAAGATTTTGTTGAGGATTTTGGCATCTATGTTCATGAGGGATATTGGCCTGTAATTCTCTTTCATTGTGTTGTCTTTACCTGATTTTGGTATTAGGGTGATGCTGGCTTCATAGAATGAGCTTGGAAGTGTTCCTTCCTCTTGAATTTTTTGTAGTAGTCTGAGGAGGATAGGTTTTAGTTCTTCCTTGAATGTTTGTTAAAACTCCCCTGTGAAGCTGTCTGGTCCCGGGCTTTTATTTGCTGGAAGCTTTTTTTTTTATTTTTTTAGTGGATCTTTTATTTATTTTTTTTAATTAAATCTTTATTGTTCACATTATTACATTGGTTTTTCTTTTTTCCCCCCATAACTCCCCTCCACCCAGTTCCCACCGCACCCTCCGCCCTCATTTCCCACCCACTGTCCTCATCCATAGGTGCACGATTATTGTTGAATCTCTTCCCGCACCCCCCACACCTCTTTCCTCCCCAAGAATAGTCAGTCCATTCCCTTTCTATGTCCCTGATTCTATTACAATCACCAGTTCATTCTGTTCATCAGATTATTTATTCACTTGATTTTTAGATTCACTTGTTGATAGATGTGTATTTGTTGTTCATACTTTGTATCTTTACCTTTTCCTTCTTCCTCTTCTTAAAGAATACCTTTCAGCATTTCATATAATACTGGTTTGGTGGTGATGAACTCCTTTACCTTTTTCTTATCTGTGAAGCTCTTTATCTTACCTTCAATTCTGAATGATAGTTTTGCTGGATAAAGTAATCTTGGTTGTAGGTTCTTGGTATTCATCACTTTGAATATTTCTTGCCACTCCCTTCTGGCCTGCCAAGTTTCTGTTGAGAAATCAGCTGACAGTTGTATGGGTACTCCCTTGTAGGTAACTGACTTTCTCTGGCTGCTTTTAGGATTCTCTCTTTGTCTTTTGCTCTCGGCATTTTAATTATGATGTGTCTTGATGTGGTCCTCTTTGGATTCCTTTTGTTTGGGGTTCTCTGCGCTTCCTGGACTTGTAAGTCTATTTCTTTGACCAGGTAGGGGAAGTTTTCTGTCATTATTTCTTCAAATAGGTTTTAAATATCTTGCTCTCTCTCTTCTTCTGTCACTCCTATAATTCTGATGTTGGTACACTTGAAGCTGTCCCAGAGGCTCCTTACACTATCTTCGTATTTTTGGAACCTTTTTTCATTTTGCTTTTCCGGTTGGGTGTTTTTTGCTTCTTCGTATTTCAAATCTTTGACTTGATTCTTGCGATCCTCTGGTCTGTTGTTGGGAGTCTGTATAATATTCTTTATTTCAGTCCATGTATGCTTAATTTCTAGTTGGTCCTTTATCACAACATCGAGGGTCTCACTAGATTTCTTGAGGGTCTCATTAAGTTTATCACGGGTTTCTAGAAAATTCTTGAAAAACCTTAAAAGTGTGGTTTTGCACTCTATATCCAGTAGTTTGCTTTCCTCCATTTCTGTCATTTGTGTCCTGTTTCTTTGTCTCAGCATTCTTTTATGCTTTGCTGTGTCGATAGAGTGGCTTTCTGTGCTAAGTGTCCTATAGGGCCCAGTGGCTCAGCCTCCCCAATTACCTGAGGTAGACACTCTTGGTGCACCCCCTTGTGGGCTTTGTGCACAGTCTTGTTGTAGTTAAGCCTTGATTGTTGTAGGTAACTCTGGGAGGATTTGACCTCCAGGCCAATTGGCTGTGAGAATCAGCTGTGTCTACGGTGGGAGAACTTCTGTGCTGAAGACACCCTTATGAGGCAAGACTTGCTTCAGTGGGGCTTTGGTGCTCACTGAGTCTTCCCCCTGAGTGTGTCCCTTATAGATCTGAGGAGTTGTAATTAGATGTTCCCACTCTGACCACTGGGTACACTGGCTCTTGGATCTCTAAGGACGTGCTAATCTAGCCTCTGCCTGAGGCTACCCAGCAGAAGCCAGCTGTAAAGCAATGCAAGTTGCCCTGGGGCCTTGGGGCAGCTGCAGTTTGTTAAGTAATTTTCATATTACAAAGGGTCTGGCCTTTCATATGCAAAAGCCTCCATGCAGGGCTTGGGTGGGGCGGAATCCCAGGGGATCAACAGGGCAGGCTGGGTGAGCAATATGGCTGCTCTCAGTCCTGTCCTCAGAGGCCCCGGCAATTGCTGTTAGTGCCTCCGAGAGAAAGCTGCCCTTGAGTTCCGACGGATGCCAGACAGTCCCATTTCTCCCGTATGAATCTGGGTCCCCAGAGACTCGCCCGGAACTGGAGCTCAGAGCCTGAGACTCCCTCCCGCTTGAAAAAGTCAATCATGTCCTCAGCCGCCTGCCCTCTCCGCATGCACCTCCACACCTTTGTATTTTACTTCCGTACCTCCTCTGAGTGTCGGTATGCTTTTCTCTTTCCTTCTAGTTGTAGAATTTCCACTCAGCCAACCTTCCTGTGGTTCTGGATGATGTCCAGTATGTCTTTTAGTTGTATTTTTGAAGTGGTTGTGTGAGGCAGCAATCTCCGGTGTTTACCTATGCCGCCATCTTGGTTTCTCCCTGTTTGCTGGAAGCATTTTGATTACTATTTCAATTTCTTCTGTAGCTATTGGCCTATTGAGATTTTTAGATTCTTCCTGATTGAGTTTTGGAAGGTTGTATTTTTCTAGGAATATGTTCATTTCCTCCAGGTTATCCAGTTTGTTGGAATAGAGTTGTTCATAGTATATTTTAACAATCATTTGTATTTCTGTTGGGTCTGTTGTTATTTCTCCTCTTTCATTTCTGATTTTGTTTATTGGGTCCTCTCTCTTTGCTTCTTGGTGAGCCTGGCTAGAGGTTCATCGATCTTGTTTATGCTTTCAAAGAACCAGCTCTTGGTTTTGTTGATCTTTTGTATTGTTTTTTTGGTCTCTAAGTCATTTATCTCCACTCTGATTTTTATTCTTTCCTTCCTTCTGCTTACACTGGGCTATTCTTGTTGCTCTCTTTCTAACTCTTTGAGTTGTAGGGTTAGGTAATTTATTACCATTGTTTCTTGTTTTTTTGCAGTAGGCTTGTAGAGCTATGAACTTCCCTCTCAAGACTGCTTTCATTGTGTCCCATAGATTTTGGATTGTTGCGTTTTCATTGTCGTTTGTTGCCACAATGGTTTTTATTTCTTCTTTGATCTCTCTGGTAACCCAGTGATTGTGTAATAGCATGCTATTTAGTCTCCATGTGTTTGATTTTTTTTTTTTGGATTGTTTTTCTTGTTGTTGATTTCTAGTTTTATGCCATTGTGATCTGAGATGTTTGATATGATTTCTATCTTCATGAATTTGAAGAGACTTTGCCTGTGACCCAATATATGGTCTAACTTTGAAAATAACCCATGTGCTCTTGAGAAGAATGTATATTCTGTGGTTTTGGGGTGAAATGTTCTGAAGATGTCAATTAATTCCATTTAATCTAGTGAGTCATTTAGGATTGATGTTTCTTTGCTGAGTTTTTGTTTAGAGGATTTGTCCAATGGTGATAGTGGGGTGTTAAAGTCCCCTACTGTGACTGTGTTGCTGTCAATCTCTCCCTTGATATCCTCCAGAATTTTTTTTATGTATTTGGGTGCTCCTGTGTTGGGTGCGTATATGTTTACCAGAGTTATATTTTCTTGTTGGATTGCTCCCTTTAGTATTGTGAAGTGTCCTTCCTTATCTCTTGTTATGGCCTTCACTTTGAGATCTAATTTGTCAGATATAAGTATTGCTACCCCAGCTTTTTATTCATTTCCATTTGCCTGAAAAACCTTTTCCCATCCCGTCACCATCAGTCTGTGTGCATCTTTTTTTCTGAGGTGGATTTCCTGTAGACAGCAGATATATGGGTCATGTTTTCTTATCCACTCAGTTACCCTATGTCTTTTGATGGGGCATTTAATCCATTAACATTTAAAGTTATTATTCATAGTTACTTGTTTCTCGCCATTTTTATTCTTTACCCCTCTGTTCCTTCTTCGTTTCCTATTTCTTCTTTTTATAGCAGACCCTTTAGCATTTTCTGCATTGTTGGTTTGGCGGTAATAAACTCCCTTAGTCCTTTTTTATCTGTGAAGCTTCTGATTTCACCCTCAATTTTGATTGACAACTTTGCTGGGTACAGTGTTCTTGGATTCAGACCCTTCCTTTGCATGACTTTGTATTTTTCACTCCATTCCCTTCTTGCCTGATGTGTTTCTGTTGAGAACTCAGTCTCTAGTCTGATGGAGGATCCTTTGTAGGTAGCTTTCCGTCTCTCTCTGGCCGCTTTTAAGATTCTTACTTTGTCATTGGTGTTTGCCAATTTAATTATTATGTGCCTTGACATTAGTCTTTTCAGGTTCATTTTGTTTGGGACTCTGTGAGCTTCTTGGATTTGTGTGAGTTTTTTCTTCCCTATATCAGAGAAGTTTTCTATCATTATTTCTTCAAACTTGTTTTCTATTCCTTGCTCAGTTTCCTCTCCTTCTGGCACCCCTATTATGTGGATGTTTGTTTCGTGTTGTCCCAAAGTTCTCTTAGGCTCTCCTCCTGCTTTTTAATTTTTTTTTCTAGATGTTGCTCTGTTTTGGTATTTTTTCCTGCCTTGTCTTCTAGCTCACTAGTGTGGTCCTCTGCTTCTTCTCGTCTACTGTTGATGCTTTCTATTGAGTTCTTTATAGCAGCAATGTCATTTTTCATTTCTTCTTGGTTCTTCTTCATTTCCTCTTGGTTCTTACACATATTTTTGAATTTGTCTTCCATTCTTTTATCCACCTTATGACCTTTTCTATGAATTCTTTCTATGACAGGTTGCTAGCCTCCATTTCGTTTATTTCCTTTTCTGGTGATGCCTCCTTTTCTTTCATATGAGGGCTGTTTCTTTGTCTCCCCATAAACTCTCTTCTCCGGGTGTCTGGTTATGTAGTTCTCTCTCTCCTGCATTGATTTAAAGGCACAAAATATGGCTTTGCAGACGCCGCCACCCCAAAGCCGTCCATGACCAGCCATGGTGAACCCCACAGTTTACTTCGACATCACTGCTGATGGCAAACCCCTTTGCCATGTCTCCTTCGAGCTGTTTGCAGACAAAGTTCCAAAGACGGCAGAAAACTTCTGTGCTCTGACCACTGGGGAGAAGGGAATTGGTTATAAAGGTTCCTGCTTTCACAGAATTATTCTGGGATTTATGTGCCAGGGTGGTGACTTCACAAGCCACAATGGCACAGGTGGCAAGTCCATCTATGGGGAGAAATTTGAGGATGAGAACTTTGTCCTGAAACATACAGGTCCTGGCATCTTGTCCATGGCAAATGCTGGACCGAACACAAACGGCTCCCAGTTTCTCATCTGCACTTCCAAGACTGAGTGGTTGGATGGCAAGCATTTGGTCTTCGGCTAGGTGAAGGAAGGCATGGATATTGTTACAGCCATGGAGCGCTTGTGTCTAGGAATGGCAAGACCAGCAAGTAGATCACTCCAAGAAGAGGGGAAAAACTATTTATATGGGGAGAAAACTCCAATAGAACAGCCACTAATCCCAACAAATGCCAGCTACAAATACCTAGAGATGAATGCAAACTACAAACAACAACTAATATCAAGCAAGGCAAGGGAAAACAGAAGCAAAATACAAAACAAAAAGAAAAAGTGAAACAATCTCTCAAACAAGCATAAAAAAATGATATAATCAACAATCAAGCAAACAACAACAAAAGGACCGAGAGAAAAAAATGTGGATGGTGAAGAAAGAGAAGAGTGAGGTGTGTATGGACTTAGATCAGGGGATTAGAAATTAGATATATAAGTAGGGTGAAATTTTAACAGGGGGTAAAAAGAAGGAATAGGGAAAATCTAAAGCAGGAATAAGGTAAAAGAAACAGGACAACAAAAGGGGAAAAGTGAGGAAGAGAGTGTTGGCATAAAGGTAAAGTTGAGATAGAGTAAAATGATGCTAAAGGAAAGATGAAAATAGAATGTAGAACACTAATCCCAAAATAAAATATACAATAAAATGACACTTTTTTAAAGAAAAGGTAAAATAGTAGTAGTAATAATACTGATTAAAAATAAACATGTAATAATTAAAAAGGTAAAATCAACTGAGGAAAATAAATTTAGTTTCTTAAGTAAAAGATGAAATAAAAATAAAAATGTGCAGCAGTGAAGGTCATTCACTTCCTCTACTGTTCTGTTTGGCACACCTGTTTCCTAGTCAGGACAGTATTGAAGTTCCCTGCGTTCCACTGCTCCTCAGTGTTGTAGGCCACAGTCCTGATTTTCAAGCAGGCCGTACTTCTTTGTTTCTTATGCTCCTTTATTTGTGTTTACACAGGAGTCAATTTGTGATTCAACCTCTGGGTGGCAGTGTTTCTGGATTGACCTCCGTGTCTTTAGGTCCTCTCTAGCTAGTGTTTAGATTTTGTTTTCCCTGTGGCACTTAATAGTGGTTTGGGGGAATGGGTTACCCCAGAGCTGGTTCTCTGATAGTTACTCCCCCGCTCTGATCCCCAGGTTCCACAAAAACAACTTTCCCCTGCAGTTTCCTAGAGTGTCCCCAATTGGCTGATCCTATGTATTGGGCTTAGTAATCAAAAGCAAAGATTTAAAGAGGGGAAAAAAAGAGAGAGAGAAAAGAGCCAGAGTAAGTGCGTGAACTCCGGCGCTGCGGAGCAAGTCTGTGCAGTCTTTTCCCCTTGGGTCTAAGCAGCGGCACGCTGTTAGCACTTTTCGGCCGCCCTTTTGCACCCAGTTCAGCTATGGGTTGCTTTTTAGAGTTCCCTTCTGTTAGCAGCCCTGTGGCTCCTCTTCCACATTCCTGGATCATGCCAGCCCCAATGGCCGTGGAGTTTTCTGGGCACAGACTTCCCTGGATCCTCCAGCTCCGGCCATGTGTGTTTCTCTCTCCTGCCCAGACCACAGACCTCACCTCATCCCAGGTGAAATCTGACCTTTCAGTACAGGGGTGCAGAGCTCCTCTGAATCTGCGTGCTCGCGCCGCTTGGGGCCCAGTGTTCCCGGGTTCGCAGCTGTATGCTGGGTGCCATTGTTGTAGATTCCCGGGATTTTCAGGCTTCGGACAACATCCACTCTCCCCTTCAAGATGGTGCGGTCTCAGAGTCAGAGCCGGTCGCTCCGGGAGGGATCCCAGCAGCAGTGGAGGCTTCCCGGTCAGGGGAACCCTGTCCGGCAATCCCCCACAGTCCCCCGGAGTATAGCTGTCCCTCAACTCACAAACTCTCCCCGTGCGACCACACACTCTCCCTTCATTCTCTCACTCACGCACTATCTTGCTGTCTGCCTTCCCGTCGGCAGCCATCTTCCTTCTCAGGAAAATTCTTTTAATTTGACTAAACTATTGACTTTTTTCTTAAATGATTGATTTACCAATAAATACATGTTAATAACAACTAGCAAAATCATTAGCAGCTTTCAGTCTCAATAGTTCACTTTCTTTCTTACAGATTAAATAGACTTAAAATCTTTACAAGGAAGTTAATATTGTTTATTGTGCTGTTGCCTTTTAAAATCAGTAGCGTATGGTTAATCAAGGGTATAAAACTTCCTAAAGGGATCTTAGAGAACTGAAAGTCTTCCTTTGCACTATTAATTATACTAAAAGAATAACAGGACCTCAAATTTCAAAATCAGTATTCTTTCACATGTATGAACATCACTCATAGTTTTTGCTTTAATACTTGTTAATAAATATATATACTGTGTTCAAATTCCATGGCAGACATGGTCCTTTATATCTTCAAGTTTAAGTTCTTTAGGTATTTATATTTACCTAACTTTAACATTTTTTATCTCATATATGACATTCTCAAAGATCACTGTAAAATAATTTCTGTTGGTTTATGCCAACAAAAAAAGGAATAGCAGCGAGATCACATTCTTTCTTCTGTCACCTGAGGAGTATTTTTTACATTCCATACATTAGTACTTGATCAGACAAGTTGCTGAAATTTTCGCCATGTCAAAGTCATTTCTAAGAATTAATAGCTCCATTCCATTTTCTTTTCATCTCAATTGATATATCAATTTTAAAAATGGAAAAAAAATCTTTGACAAAGATAATCCACCAATACTTGTCAAAATACTCAAATAAGACTACATACACTTAGGTTATATTTTAAGTAATTATGTGTGTCGTATAAGCTCTGACAAAATGCAGACTTCTGGAAAACACTGAAATAGCAAACACAGATTATTTAAAGAACTCTTATTGTTGTAAGAAGTGTTCAACAAGTTGAATGTAGAGAATTTGAATTTTATTTTCTCTTTTCTCTACCTGTCCTTCAGTGGAATTACTAATGAAATTTTTCTGCTTTATATACATGTTGATGTTAAGAATTAAAAATTTTCTCTTTGAAAAAATAGGAAGCAACATTATTGACCATGCTGGCCATATGGTATTCAAGATTTATAGTTCTTTTTTTCGGATTGAGTTTGTCAGCCCCTGTGCCAAAAGAGAATGTTTTTTGGATTGAGACAAAAGGATTTTTTCTTCTCCATCAAATACTTGCAGTCATACCATATTTTGTCTTTCTAATTTGAGCCATGACTTTCTTGTACAGTTGTTTCATCCTGTCTGAAATTTCTAATTACCTTTCTTTTTCTTGGATCGTGTGCTTTATTATTTCAGCTTTTCCCATCTTGTCACTCTTATTTTCTGTTTTATGTCATTCCCTTTTGCAGCAGAGCCCTCTATACTCCTGCCATAAGCTGGACCTATTGCTGCCCTCTAGGCTGCTGCAGAGCTGTCATCCAGGATTTCTCTCTACCACTCTACTGGGTTGGTTTTACTGTTTCTCGGATTCTTTCGTCTTTATTCCCTGTTCAAGTAACTACCCCCACTACCCCCCCCCCCAAAAAAAAGGGTAGATGGTAGAGTTTTCTGAATATATAATTCAAATGTAAAACATTCATCTCTTCAAAACTTTTAAGGCATTACTCTTCTTTTTCTGCTTCCATTAACTGGTTCAAAATGATTCAAATTGGTCTTCCTTTGTAGACTCTTCTCATAAAAGATTTTAAATCTTTTCCAGCATGGCATTCTTAAATCTAATAAGGCGGTGTCAGAGAGTGGATCTTCTTTCATTTATTGTGTTCTATACTTATATAGGTGCTTTCAATTTGAAGATTCTTGTCTTTCATCTCTGAGAAATACTTCTTAAGATTATTTGATAGTTTTCTCCTCTGCTTTTTTCTTTCTGATGTCTCTTTCTGGTTTCCTAATTCCCAGATGTTGTATATTCTGAACTGATTCTTTCCTATTTTTCTTTATATTTTCTAAATCTTTAATTTTCTGATAAATGATTTTAGAAACCTCAACTTTATTTAAAGTTTGGTGTTTTTTCGGGGGGTCAGTAGATGAGTGTGCAGTTCATTGGCATTAAGTACACTCACATTGTTGTGCATAGGATTGTTTAATGAGAGAAAAGTATATGTATATAATAGAAAAAGAATTGACATTCAACTGATTTTAAAAATCAAAGCATGACTTAAAGCAAAGGATTGTTTTTAAGGGGGAAACTATATAAAATAAATGTTCTGCTTAGTTGTGCCAGTATTTGTCAAAGCATATCAAACAAATCATTATGAACCCTGAAGTTCTTTTGTCTGTTCTCTTTGCCTAGCACTTGACCACCAAGGGCTTGAGATGAAAAGAAAGAGATATGGCTACTCAACAGTCTCTCTTTTCAATGCAGTTGGAATAACAAAGTATGACATCTGGAACACAGCCAAGTATTAGTTATTAATATCTTAAAATAATTTTAATGTAGATTTGCATTTATTAAAATTTGATAAGGTAGAAAAGCATGAATTACAGAAATAGTCTCATGAATATGAACAGCAAATTGATTGAAAGTGGCCATATCAAGCATTCCTCACTTGAAGTATCCTGCCAGCTCCTGAGTAATGCTTTGATTTGGTTTGAACCTTTTGTGTGTAACATTTTTTAGAGCAAGTCACTACAGTTCTTTCTGGATAATACAGGTCATGAGAAGTTCATTTGTAGGTGGGGCAGCTGTACTCCTTTGGGGGACTGTCTTAATAGATCCATTTCATTAATTGTCATGAATTTTTTATTAACAAAACCAGTACATCAGGTTTAGCCAGCTAAAAACTGTTCTCATACTAGTAGTTGTTATCTTTATTGTCAGAAATAATATTACAAAAATAGGGAATTACTGCACATGCTTTAACTCTTGATTAAGCAGAGGAATGGCACTATCCATGAACAATAACTTAGGGGCATATTACCAAGTTGACATACGGTGTTTGGTTGTGCAACTCCCATTAACTTTAAAGCCCTGAGCTTTAATTTCAGTGTCTTCCAGTTAGGAATAATGCCATAACTGTCTGTTAGGTACTCTGAGTTAATGTGATTAATGT